CTCTGAATAATGTGGAATAGCTTTAAAATATAGATCAGAGATATTGTTAAAATGTGTGACTAACTTTAAGGGTTACAAAAGAAAAACACTGAGGCAGCATTTTTCCTCTTACTTAGGCCTATTGCATTAATTCCATGTTAACAATCTTTTTGTGGGAAGGCCCATGAAAGATCCTAGACAGGTCAGGAAACCTACTCTTTTCCTTGCTTCCCACTCTCAGGAAAGAACTGAACCAGTCAAGCAAATGAGAAGGCCAGCCCAGTACTCTGAGAGCCTCTTCAGATAGAAAAAAGTTTAGTGGTTAGTCTTGCGTCTTGGAATCTGACAGCCAGAGTTGAAACCTGGGCTTTATCACTAATGACTGGTGAACTGAAACTCAGCTTCTCTATGTGAAAAATGGAGATCTACCTACTCATAAAGTTATTAACAGTTACATGAAATAATACAGGTCAAGTGCTTAGCACATCTGGAATATGCCAAGTGTTTCACATAGAGCAATACATGGTATCTACTCAGACTTCCACCCCATCCCACCATTTTTAAACATTTTTTTCTTCTGCAGCTTCACTCTCTTCCACTTGTTTGTATGCAGATGTTGTCACAAACTGAAAAGTTGTCCTTTATTTTTTCCTCTCTTTGGCTTGCTGTTATTTCCATGTATTGATCTCAGGTTTGGGCCTTAAATTAGACCGCTATAACTCAGATGCCTCATTGCTGGGCATTCCTCCCTTTGCTTTTTTTCCCTTCTGTCTCAAGTGACAAACTGACTTTTGGGCTATGTGTGCTACACGCCAGATCCAGATTTAGCTTGCAGACCATTTTATAAGTGAACAACTATAAGTTTTAGTCATATAGACCCCAAGTTAAAATTCTGCCTCTTGCCAGCTGGTTTCAGGTAAGTTGCTTGCATCTCTGAGGCTGAGTACCCATTTTTATCATTCTCTAATGTAGGGACAATAAGATTCACCTCCTGGGGGCAATCAAGAGGATTAAATGTAAATGATCTGTGTGAAGCTCCTAGGGGAGAGCTATATACAGCGTTTTCCCTACTTTATTCCTTCAGAAGTCACTATGGTAAATGGTTTATTTTCCTTCCCCCATGACTACCCCGTTTTTCTGTTTATATTAGTGAAACATGCTAACAAGAAGACTGATGCATTAAAATACCACTTAATTCAGGACAGCCCCCTTATTAGGAATTCACGAGCATTCTGTCAGGGCCCAGGCTAAAATCTGCCTTGTCATTTAATCCTATGGGACAAAGAGGGAGGCCAAGGAAGAAAGGAGAAAAGTGGCAATATCTGAACCACATTGCTCCTGGAGCTACTTAAGTGAGGTGCATGAGACTGGTTTTGCTTCATAAAAAGTAATATGTAACTGACAACGGGATATGTTGGGGAGGCTATTGCATTTATTTAAAAAAAGACAACTTTTTAATGTCCTATGGCTTCCAGATGGACTTATTTGAGGGAACAGTTTCCTGAGTATAAATAGCCCACAAACTCCACAAACTTGGTGGATTGTACAAAAGCCTTTTGTTTCCAGATATGTCAGATACCACCCTTATAACTACCCAATTACATGAACTTCAAATTTCCCCACATAAGCTTTTGAGCTAAACACTGAGTTTGTCAGTGATTTTCCACTAGCCTTCCCTGGTTTACTGCAAAGGAAAGAATGAGCTTGGAATCTCCCCCACAAAATCTTTAAAACTTTTATTTTCTAAGCAGGTAACAGAGAGGAGAGTATAGGGAGAATTAAAGATTAGAATTAAAATTTAGCCTGATATAAACAGTTTTGATGTGTAGCTCACAGATCTCCAGCACATAAAGCTTGTTAAGGGGGAAAAGAGAAGTGCATTTTAATACATAAAGAAAGCTTTCAATGTCATCTCCCATTAGCTCTCCCTTGGTATATTTACTCTGCCTTACCCATGTGCCCTGTGACCTCCAGCCTCTGCCTTTTCACACATGCTCCTCTCTCCACTTTAGAAGGGGGCTGGACAGAGGAAGAGGAAGCTAGAAGTGAAGGACCCCATCATGGTGACCACTTACAGAGCTTTATGGTGTCAGGCAAATGACTATTCCTACGGACCTTAGTTTCCTTATCTGTAAATTGTAAATAATACCCAGTTCACCAGAATTGTTTTGGGGATCAAGTTAAATCCTCAACTTCTCAGGATCTGTAGGATGGAATAGTACCCTGAGACATACCAATGGTAAATGGCTGTGGGAAATGCTGTGTAGTTTATATTAGTGCCATCAAGTCTCTGAGGAATTCTACAATACAAAAAACAAAACAAACCCATTTAGTTCTGTTAACCTGTGCTGGGCAATGCCAAACCAGCAAGTACAGAAATAATGAGTTCCATTGTCATCTCCTTATTTTTACCATAGGCCCTAAGTTTCTGACTTAGAGTTCAGAGAGAAGGAGCTGATCTCAGTGCATGTGGGGAAGGAGGGGAGGGCAGGGCTGAGAAAGCACGCCCACCCGAGTCCTGCAGAGATTTTAGGCCAAGACAATTCTATAGCTCTGGAGGGTGATTCTAAAACTCACCTTTAAAGAAATATTTTCCCTCCAGTTAACCACTTATGAATAATAATAATAATAAAGTCTATCTGCAATCAGGGTAAGAGTGAAAGGGTGGAGGTGAAGAAAGCACTTTCAGTTGTAGTTAGAATGCATCAGAAGTAGTTAAATCCCCCTTCTCAATGACTAGTAAAGCAGAAAGTATGTTTTTCCTGGCAAAGTGCTAGAAATACAAAATATTTTTCTTCCTCCATTATAAAAATGGGAATGAAGAAAAGAAAATGCTTTAGAAGATGAATGCAGAGATAGAAAGCAAACAAGTAAAGAGTTGATTGTGGAGTTTTCAGCAAATGAATGAATGAATGCATGAATGAATGAGTAGAAAACCACATGAGAGAAAATAATGGACTTTGGTACAGTTTGCTAAAGAATGGAGATGATTCCTTTTTGCTAAACTAAACCCACAGCCAAATTAGAAAACTTGATATTCAAACATTGCATTTGTTTTATATATTCATGGCATCAGTTCAATTTGTCATTAATTAAACAGGCAAATTTGAGAATGCCTCTTTTAAGTAATACCTCCAAAAATAACCTCGTAAAATCAGGTTGAGATACATTATATGTCCTGAGGGCAGCAGGAAGCAAAAGGGAAAATATGAAATTAGAAAGTGACCTGTAATTGTCACTTCACTGGTAAAGGTGATATAACCTCCATTATCAATCAGGAACTTACTTTGATGCCTAATTTCACTGGCTGTCTAACTTACCAAATTGAATTAAGCACAAATGAAGAAATACTTGGCTAGGGAAAAAAGTACCATGCCATTTTGCTTTCTGTCAACTGAAAACCAACCCAATTAGGACAGACAAGGAAAAATAAGCTCAAAATATTTTATTGGAGGAATAAAAGTTAAAAGGGATTGTTTCCCCCAAACTGGCCTGGCAAAAGGTAGTTGACAAAAACACCAGATTCCCTGGTGCCTTCTATATATCCAGAGTTGAAAAATTGTTGTTTCCCTTCATTTATTCCACTAATATTTGAGTGATGATAATGTGCCAGGTTCAAATCATTGCTTTATCGGATAAACGATGCCTCCTCTTTCCTCCCTGCTCTAAGCCTGATGCTTCAGTGTCACTCCCCTTTCATTGTTTGCAGAATTACGAGGAGTTTGCTAGATGGTGTATACTGCTCTCTGTAGATATTTGAAGACAAGAATCACCCAACAGGAAATTTCCCCAAGGTTGCATCCAAAGCAACATCAATTCTCTGTTTCCTACATGTACTTGGTAATATCAAGAATGTAGAAGCTTTTGTGACCCTCCGGTTCTACCCTTGTGCTGAATTTTGTCCTGAGTAAATAAGAACTTGAGGATATAGAGCATTTTTGAAGCAAGGGCACTAGAGGTTGTTGAGAACTGTGAGAAACGAGCTCTGCACGGGAGTCTAGAAAGCTGCAGGACCCAGAGCAATAGACAGGAGTGCAGAGTTCTCAATGGGCAGGGGAGTCTGACCAGGGCAAGTTACAATTCTTCTCTGGGTATAGGTTTTTCTCATCAAGAAAGGAAGGCTATGGGAAGAGATGCTTCTAGCTCAAATACTCGTTTTTCTGCTGCAGCTCATTTGCTTCAGCATATGAAAAAAAATGATCTTTTTTTCTAAATGATTCATGAAACAAGGAATTTTACAAAGAAAGAAATCCTTTCAGCTTGCCTCACCTGCGTGTTCTTTCTGCTCCCTTCTTCCTGCTTTTGCTCAGCTGGCACGTGCTAGTTCTCAGTCCCTTTTTTACAATCTGATCGTTCCTGGTGTGATGGCGTGTCCCTGGCAGCAGGTGCCATCTAGAGAAGCTTTTCTTTATTTCTCTGTATTATTCATCTGCATTTTCAAATGGTTCCTTTTTCCTCTAAGTATATCTTCAGCCCCCCCCACCTCCCCCAACACACATACTTCGTGGAACTGACCTTCTACATAAATCTAGCTTGTTTTCTGTCCGAAATTTCACACACACATTTCCCAGGAAACACTTAATTCTGCCAAACTCTATTTTTTATGGCTGAAAAATGCCAAATGTACAGAAGTTGTTCTGTTTTCTATTAACCATTTACTTGTCTCAGCAGGTATCTTCACACAGATATATGGGCTAATATGAGTCTAAGCATATAGAAAGGCATTTAAAAAGGAGTAACATGTAATATATTTTGGAATACTGCATAGCTGTTTTAGACTTTGATGGAGAGTGTGGATACTACTAAAAAAATTCAGATTTTAACAAAACCCTTACAGAAAAGGAATGTGACATATCTATCTCCTTATAAATGTGTCTTATCTCTATTTTTTTTAACCACATTTAGTGATGCATGGGATAGAGTAATATGCCTTTTTGTTCGTGAGGATGTTTCCCTCCATTAGGTCTGATCAGTAATATTTAAAATATAGAAATCCTTTTCATTTAAAATATCTTCACTAAAATAGGTATTTCTTCCCTTAGAAAAAGAATTCAAAACTTTTTAGGGCCTAGTTTTAAAAAGCATCATGCTTTAGTTGATTTATTTTGGTAGTTGTTTTAGGGATGTGAAATATATCACCACTGCAACTAGCAAGAACTATAAATGATACATTATTGCAAGTGTTCTAAAAAAATCAGAACAAAACTAATTTATTATAGTTCTGTCTTCATTATACACCACATATTGGTGAGTTAAACACAACAAAATTGTCTTTTCTTTTAAAAGTGTCTACTAAAGATAAAAAGAATAAGGTAACAATTAACATGTAGTTTGTTACATTAAAAAATCTGATATACATATTTCTATTGCCTGTTAGCTTATTCTTAGCCTCTTTAACTATTACAAAAAAAGAAAAATCATTGTTCAAAGGCAAACATTCAATTCAGTTGATACAACATTACAGTACAGTCAACTAACATCATTCAAGGAAGGTAACAAGTCTAGCCTTAACTTCTTGAGTTAAAAGTCTGTAGACCAGATTGCTACAAAAGGTTCAATGCTGCTTCACACTGTATGTTAGCTTTTTGGAGGACATGGTAATTTCTACTGATGGCTTCAGAAGAAGAGGTCATGCTATTGGTAAAAGCACAGGGGAACCCCAACCTGTCATTAATAATTTTATTGAGCATTGTAGTTAGAACAGCATTATTGAGTTTAGCACAACAACTAAAACAAAATAATAATAATCATAATCATAATAATGATAAGAATAAAAACCAAACACAAACTGGAAGCCTAGAGATGCTGCCAGCCGTGTCAAACCCTTGCGATACGCTATACTAAAAAAATTTGAAATATCCACCCGTCCTCTCCACTCTGCCACAAACTAGCAAAGTCAAAAATACAAAAGTCTTCAACTTGTTACTTTTGCAGAATAAAGCAAAAACGTCTTTGTGCTCCTTACTACCAGAAGCGAAAAATCCACTGAGTTACCACATGTAATAGCTTCTGGATGTGTCAACCTGGGTTGGCTTGGTGTCTGCAGAACCATCTTTGTCTTTCTCACTGTCACCTTCCCAGAGGTTAATGAGTGGTGGGTACAGCTCATTTAGTGGGATTGAAGAAGTTTTTTGCATATACTTTTTTAATGAATGGTGGTAGTTTTTTCTCTTAAACCTTTTGGCAATGTACACAGCAATGGACGCAAGGCTAATGATGGCAAACATGGACCCCATTACTGCAGCAAGGGCCGTACTTGTTTCTTGATCAGAAATGTCCAGTGCAAAGGCGGCATTTTTAGTTGTGACATTAACACATGACTTTTGAGTCTGCTGATGAATATTGGACACTGTGAGACACACTTCATAATCTGTGGAAGGCTGCAGATGTGTTAAGTTGTACTCATGAACATCTACTGGGACCCTGGCAGTATATGTTATGTGAGGATTGTCAATCTTCATGGTGGCAGATGACCATTTTAAGTTTGATGTCATGACATTGGAATTAACTTTCCAGGACACTAAAATGGAATGAGATTCTGTCTGCTTGACATATATTTTCAGCACCTGGGTACCATCCAGAAGGGTTCCATTAACCTTAATTGTTACTACACGTGTGTCGGCCCCTTCGACATTCTGGGCAACACAGGTGTATCTTCCTGAGTCTTCAGTTTGTATGTTAGATATTTCTAAAGTACCTTCACTACTTAGCTTGTATTTATCTGAAAGTGTATCCACAGTTATCTTGTTTCCAAGAGGAGTGACCCAGTAAATTTCGGGTTCTGGCTCAGCCATGGCCCGACAGTCTAGGAAAACTGTTGTGCCAATATCCATGTTTAAATGATTCGGGAATGTGTCGTGAGATATCATTGGGAGGCACTGTTCACTTGAATCCTGGATTAAAACTTCCTTTACCTGGTGCCCTCTATATTCAGGTGGCATGGCGCAAAACATGGACAAAGGCTCCATGAAGCGGATGTTGGTCTTGTTGGAGTTAATCCAGTGGATGACACAATCACACCTCAGGGGATTGCTGTGGATACTGATCTCACGAAGGTTGGGAAGGGATTCTACCGTCTTTTGGTAAACGGCATTCAAGGCATTGTTGTTCAACATCAAGCTTTCTAGGGCAGGAACACTTCGAAAAGCCAAGCGGTGGATATAAGATAATTTGGGGTTATTGGTGGCTTCTAACTTTGTGAGTTCAGGCAAGTTATCAAGGGCATAACGATCCACAGAAACAAGTTCCCCCATATTGTTGATTCCCAGTTCTTTTAGCCGAAGCATATTTTTGAAATCCCCTTCTTGGATTTTGTGAATGGGGTTTTTGTTGAGGTCTAAGAATTTTAAATTTGGAACTTTTTGCAGGGCAAGCTGAGGAACCTTGACCAGTTTGTTATCATAAAAAGACAAGCTTTCGAGGCTGTCCAAGCCCACCAAGGCATTTCCAGGAATATCAGTGAGATACATTCCTGCCAAAACCAGGCTTCTCAAATTTGAGAGGGGTTTAAAGTTCATATCTAGAATTCCAATCACAGGGTTTTCCCCAATCATGAGAATTTCCAGGTTGGGTGTTGAATCAAACCAGCGGCTATCGATAACTTTCAATTTATTGGAGTTCAAATGAAGCCTTAAAAGATTTTTTAAGCCTGAAAAAGCATTAGCAGAAATAGTGCTAATCTGGTTATGGTTGATATAGAGTTCTTGAAGGTTGCTGAGGTCTTGCAGACAGTAATCAGTCATTTCTGTAATCTGATTTTCCTCTAAATGTAGAGTAGTGAGCTGGGTCAGGTTTGCCAGCCCTACCTCCTTAATATTTGTAAAGTTGTTTTGGGAGAAATCTAGCTCAGTCAAGTTGAAAAGCTGCTGGAGCTCATCCACGGTCTTTGCGATGTTATTGCTCTGTAAGAGAAGCACTTGGGTATCACTAGAAAGGTTGCTGGGAATCCTTGTTAAGCGGAGATCATTGCAATCAACAGTAGTGGCTTCTCGATATGTTGATTGCGGGGTAAACCAGGGCCTAATTTCACATACACAAAGTTGTGGACACTCACTATTTTGTAGGGAAGACCCAGTTAATGAAGTCATTAGCAAGCCCAGTACCAACTGGCGAGCTGCTAAAGCACAGCCCATCCTAGCCATGCTGGCTTGCCAAGCAAGCTCAGCTCCTGACACCCCTAAGTTTCAACGAGAGTTGAACACTAGATAGTGGTATGTAGGACAGCAAGCAGAAAATGTAAACATTCAAGCAAAGTCTTGGTTGAGATGTGTAAAATTCCGGAGTCCAAAGGTATGGTTTTCAGGAGTTTTCAAAAGGCAGGAAGCAACTGGGAGTCTTAACTGTGTCTCTCAATTCCAGGCATGCCCACAGCTCTGTGGTATAAGTTACTTCAGTCAAATCAAAGTCTGGAGATGTGCCTGAAAATTAGATTAGGACAGACGTTATGTTTTTTTCCATATACTTTCTATATTATAGATTTTCTTTTGTCTACTAAAAAGGCATAATCACAGATCTATTAACAGAATGTTCAAAGTAACTACACAAGCTTTTAAATTACAGTATACTTTTCTATATTCCAGTTACTACACCAAAAATAGTTGCCACTTTTACAGTGTAATTGGGTAAAATCGTCAAATGCACACACATACTCACACTTAATAGGGACACTCAGAAAAACATACAGATGTCATTTTTTAAAAAACAAAGTTGGCTTTAAAAATTGCAAGGCTCCAAAAAGTCAAAAGCAAAGCGTGAAACGCAGTTTATAAGAGACTCAAAGTTCATTTTTAGTTATTTATATTTTATTTTATTATTTTTTTAAAAGATTTTATTTATTTATTTGAGAGAGAGAGAAAGAGAGAGAGAGCACGAGAGAACACAAGCAATGGAAAGGGAGAAGCAGGCTGCCCAAGGAGCAGGGAGCCCGATGCAGGGCTTGATCCCAGAAGTCTGGGATCATGACCTGAGCCAAAGGCAGATGGTTAACCAACTGAGCCACTCAGGCACCCTTAATTATTTATATTTTAACTAATAATTGTTTTTATTTGTTTTCAGCAGTTTTTCTTTTCCAAATGGTATATTCTGTAGATATATTCAGCCAATGCTTTTCTAGCTCAGTTATTCTTATGCAAAAAATTAATTTAATACAACTACAAAAAGAAAATGTCAGTTTTTCTTATATTCTAACAGTCACAGCTGATCTTGACTGAATAAAATAGTCAAAGGATTTTACCCCACTATTATCACCGATCTTCATGAAAAACACACGCATACTTACACATGTTTAACTTCAACAGTCTCATGGGAATGTCACTGGCCACTCAGTAGCTATAAAGCATGGATATATTGGATATATTCTTTTTGGGGGACATATTCTTTAATATCTTTAAGCCTCAGCTTCTTCAACTATATAAGATAGGGTTGGTCATTAGGATTATCAAGGGAATTAAAGGAATCTATATAAAGCTCAAAAAGTTATTTATATTTATTGTCATCCTTTTTTTTTTTAAGATTGAGGGGCAGAGGGAGAGGGGGAGAATCTTAAGCAGGCTACATGCCCAGTGTGTGAGACTCACGTCAGGCTCACAACCTGAGCTGAAATCAAGAGTCAGACACTTAACTGACTGAACCACCCAGGCATCCCTAATGTCATCTTATTATATCTCTCATCCATATTAGTTTTAGCTGAATAGTGGTTGTTAGAGAACAAGTAAATGAGGAGAGCTGGGGACATTTGATTTTATTTAGTCATTGTCTATTGGTTTTAATAAGGTCTTCTGAGGTCAAATATGTATTGCTCATCTGCTTATAAAGATAATATTAGCAGTTAATGGTTCTAGTTTCCTGGATTCCAGTCAGGTATAAAAAGCCACTGTGGATCCATTGTCTATCTTGCTTTCTCAAAACTAGGCCCGTCACTTGCTAAGCTATTAAAAGTAGAGTTACATATTTCCTTACATTTGTCTTTCTATAATGAACTTCATCTTTGAGTACTGAAGGACCTTCAGTGACTAGTGTTTTCTTTGGCCTCATAAAATTACTGTAAGGATTCAATAAAATACAGCATATAATGTACTTGAAATCTAGTGTCCAACACATAGCAAACTTTTGATTCATATTTACTGCTATTACTTTGTACTTTGCAAAACATAGTTATCCTTGTGATTGACCAAGAAGCAAACTAATACAAGTAGCCAGTCCTAAAAGTTCTGTATTTGTCATATTTTAGTAGAAAGAAAGAGAAGTCCTACATTTCTGTTTTTGTTCTACAAAATATGCAAATCAGGCTACGGTCTAACAAGATGGTATTAAAAAAAAAAATCACCCAACCCAGATTTGGCAGTTGGAGGAAGAAGAAGGAAATGAATGTGTTGCATAATGCTGATGCTGGATACTTGCTATTCTTTGTGGGGAGGAAACACACTGGCATTCTCCTCTACCTAATCTGGCTATTTTAGCATATATTATGTATGTACAAAACTTTTCAACATTATAAAACTACCTGATTCTGACTTTTATCAGGAAATTCCATAAAATAAAAACATATTTCAGAGAATAATAATTTTCCAAATATTATTGCCTCCACAAATTTATTCCACTCTTTTTGTTTCCATTTAGAATAATCCTAAAACATGTATAATGACCACAATAAATTTTCCATTAAGAAGATTTCTACCACATGTTATTGCTTAATTTTAATTCAAAATAGAAAACCAAAAAAAAATCTACTTTTCATAACTCTGAGATGGAATTTCAACTAATATTTATGTTTTGACTGAATTTAAGGAAACATAGCAAAAAGTAAGTATGTGTCGAAGCTGTGCGAGACTCCCAAAACCATCTGTTGCCATTGAAAAATATCTTTTATGGCTTCGGATATTTTCATGAGTAATGCCTCCATTTTAGTTTAAAATATATGATGAGGTAATTGGATTGCAATACTCAAATTTCTGTTTGACATACACATTCCTCTTTAAGGAAACCAACAAACCACACAAGTTGAGAATGTTAGACACCATATCAGACATAGAGGGAAGACATTTTCCTCTCCCAACCTGCATCTGGCATCTTTGAGAGTGGAGAATGAAACTTCCTTGACACAAAAGGAGGTGTTTTAAGATGTTTCTAGTTGTATGCCATTCTGAATTCTCTTTAGCATATTTTCCAGCCTAATTTTTGAACATGACATTATACATAGAACAAAGCTTCATAGAGTGCTTAAACCATTTTGTCTGTTTAAAGCATAAGGCATGTCTCAGAAGTTATTCACTAACTCTGTTTATAAGTAAATCCATTATCACAACAAGAGTAGAAAACTATAGACCAATGTCCCTGATGAATGCTGATGCAAAACTCCTCCACAAAATACTAGCAAATTGAATTCAACAGTTTATTAAAAGGTTTATACACCATGACTAACATGGATTTATACCTAGAATGCAAGCATGGTTCAATATATGAAAATAATTCAAAGTAATATACCATATTAACAGAATGAATGACAGAACCCACATCATCATCTCAGTTGATGAAGAAAATGCACTTGACAAAATTCAACACTCTTTCATGATAAAAACACTCAACTAAGAATAAAAGAAAAAACTATATATGAAAAGCCCACAGCTAAAATCATAATCAGTGATGAAAGAGTATAAGCTTTTCCTCGATGATCAGGAACAATGTAAGGATGCCCACTCTAGCTACTTCTATTCAGTATTGGAAGTCCTAGCCAGAACAATTAGACAAGAAAAAGAAAGCATCCAAATTGGAAATGAAGAAGCAAAATTCTGTTTGCAGATGGTATGATCTCACATGTAGAAAACCCTAAAGATGTGACAAAAAACCCTAAACTGTTAAAACTAATAAACAATTTCAACAAAGTTGAAAGACACAAAATATATAAAATCAGTTGTGTCTTTGTACCCTAACAGTGACCAATCCAAAAAGGAAATTAATAATCCAACTTACAATAGCATCAAAAGAATAAAATACTTGGGAATAAATTTAAGTGAAAGACTTGTGCACTGAAAACTACAAAACACTGCTAAAAGAAATAAAGTATTCAAATATATAGAAATATATCCCATGTTCATGAATTGTATTGTTAAAATGTCCATACTATCCACAGTGATCTACAGATTCATTGCAATCCTTATCAAAAGCTCAATCACAGTTTTTGCAGAAATAGAAAAAAAAAAAATCTTGGGCGCCTGGGTGGTTCAGTCAGTTAAGCGTCTGCCTTCGGCTCAGGTCATGATCCTGGGGTCCGGGGATAGAGGCCCGCATCGGGCTCCCTGCTCAGTGGGGAGTTTGCTTCTCCCTCTGCTGCTGTCTCTCTCTGTCAAATAAATAAATAAAATCTTTAAAAAAATCTTGAAATTCATATGGAATCTCAAGGGACCCCGAATAGCCAAAACAGTCCTAAAAAAGGACAAAGTTGGAGGCCTTACACTTCATGAGTTCAAAACATACAATAAAGCAACAGTAATCAAGATGGTGGGTTACTGGCATAAAGACAGACATATAGACCAATGGAAGAGAGAGCACAGAAATAAACTCTCCCATATATGATCAAGTGATCTTTGATGAAAGTGCCAAGACTACACAATGAGGAAAGGATAGTCTCTTCAACAAATGGTGTTGTATATCCACATGCAAAAGAATGAAGTTGGACCCTTACCCTATACCATATACAAAAATTAACTCAAATGAATTAAAGACCTAAACTTAAGACCTAAAACTGGAAAACTCCTAGGAGAAAACATAGGGGAAAAGCTTCAGAACATTGGAGTTGACAATGACTTCTTGGAATATAACACCAAAAGCAAGGGCAATAAAAGCAAAAATAGCAAATGTGACTAAATCAAACTTAAAAACTTCTGCACATCAAAGGAAACAATCAACAGGTTGAAAAGACAATCTACTAAATGGGAGAAAATATTTGCAAATAATATATCTCATAAGGGACTAATGTCCAGTATACATAAGGAAATCCTATAACTATAACAACTATCATATCAATAAAACAAATAATCCGATTAAAAATTATGCAAAAGATTTAAATAGTTCTCCAAAGATATACGAGTGGACAATAAGCATATGAAAAGATGCTTAACATCACTAATCATACGGAAATATAAATCAAAACCATAATGGGATATGACCTCACACCCATGAGGATGACTACCATCAAAAGAACAGAAAGTAACAAGGGGTGGGAATGTAAAATGATGCCTCCACTATGGAATATAGTATGGGGGTTCTGAAATAAATTAAAAATAGAATTACCATATGATCCAGCAATCCCACTTCTGGGTATATATCCAAAAAAAATTCAAAGCAAGATCTTGAAGAGATATTTGCACACCAGTGTTCAATGCACCACTATTCACAACAGCCAAGAGATGGAAACAACCCA